CAGCCTCTTTGATGTAGAGGTAGGACTGACTTCATGTTTCATGTACCCCCTTTATAGAGATAGTAAGGTTGTCACACAGAATCCTGCAGTGATGTTTTGTCAGTTATGGATGTTTTCAAAGTCACATTTTTTTTATCCCTCTTCTTTCTAAGATCCTACTTTCACCTAAATGTTCCAGTTTTTGCCCCGAAGGGTTTGGTGGAAGGATGGTCTAAACTGTTGGTTTTCGACCGCTACGACCCGTGATTGAATCTCACATTAGGCACTTTTTTAAAAATGAAAAATGTTCCAATTGCCCCTAATTCTTGCAAAAGTCCAACCCCACCAGCAAATGCAAGTAACCAAACGGGGCTCTGGCACATTTGTAAGTTTTCACAAAGTTTTCACATGTGTAGACATGTGGTGCACTTCAGTAAAAGCAGTCGCCTACTTTTACCCACCATGACAATCGTGGCTTGTACCACATGTACTAGGGATAATAATTTTCAAAAAAAGTTTTTGTCCCTCTTTCATGAGATTGTTGCCCTCTTCTTTTACCCCATTGTTGAAGAGTTTCTCCATCAGTTCATAGTTTATTTTCTCCTTTTATTTCTTTGTTGCAGCTTTGCTAATCCTTTCATTGATGGCAATCCTTTTCTTCACTTCTTGTCAACTCTTTCGATCCATTCTTTCAATTTTTTTTTTTTTTCAATCCATTGTTGAAGTGTTGTTTTCCTTTCATTTTACTTCTTTGCAGTCTTTGGTCTCAATTTATTACTTAGAACACGGGCAGAGAGAATTGTTTCAGTATCATTAGGTTCCATTATATGATGTACCAGGGTAATAGCTTTGCTGTATCAGTTAAAATAGCAAAATCAGTTTAAACATTTTTTTTTTTTTTCAAATAAATATTTTTTCTCAATAAAAGGTAATAAGCCTAAATCCAAATAAAAAAAATAGTGTGTGATGTTTCGATAACAGCATTGTTACCGTCAGACAAAAGACTGAATTTACAAGGTTGTCCCAAAAGTTCGTAAACACTTGCAAAAAATTGAAATAAAAATATTATTCGCCGTTATGTATGTTTTTTTTTTTTTTTTTTTGCTTATTCCTATGTATAATGTCTTTGTATTATGTTTAAAGTATTTGTATTATGTATTAGCCAAGTAATAAGAAAAACAAAATGTATTCCTCAAAATATTACAAACTTTTGGGACAACCTTATATTTATTTGGTCTTATTACCTTTTATTTCTAATCTATAATCCTAAATTGTATCTTATAATATTTTTCTCAAATGTCTTAGCAAGTTTACAACATGATACCTTGGTGCAGGTCCATAACTTCACGGTGTCACTGTGTGATGGCCGGGTACTGTGCTATATTCTCCATTACTACCAGCCTGACCTCCTCCCCCGCTCTGCCATCCGAGAGCTGACCACTCTCACCTGCCCCATGGACACTGTGCCAGGTTGGTATCCCATCCTCTGTGTGTCCCACTTCTGTGCTATAGCTGGTGTGGTTGTAGACAAGAAAGAACTGACGGTCCTTCTAGCCAATGAAAGAGAGAATCTCAGACTGTTCCTAGACAAAGTGAGTTTTTACCTTCTGCCAGCCTTCATTACCATTTTACCAGATATTCAATAATGATGCACAATTTGGATTATAGATTATAGCTACAAGAAAATAAGACCTAATCCAAATAATGATAAGGCACAATTTGGATTATAGATTATAAACACAAGGTAATAAGACAAAATCCAAATAAATAAATAAATAGTGTGTGACATTTAGGTAACAACGCTGTTACTGAAACGTCACACACTATTTATTTATAATTTGGATTTTATCTTATTACCTTGTGTTTCTAATCCAAATAATTTAATAGTGTGTGACGTTTCAGTAGCAGCATTGTTACCATCATCACCATTTATTCTTTTGTCTGATGATGGTAACAATGTTGTTACTGAAACGTCACACACTATTACATTTTCTGGATTAGGTCTTATTTTCTTGTATTAGATATCAAACCCCTTGTATCAATATGGAGTAAAATTAATCAGGCCTCCAGGGAAAAGTATATTTTTCTAAACTTATTTTATTCTCAGCTTTCAGGCACGGATGCCTCTCTACAGGAGAAAACATAAGCTAGAGAATAAAAAAAAGTTTTGAAAAGATACTTTTCCCTGGAGGTCAGGGAAAGACACACGAGATAACCAAGTGTGAACAAATCACCAAAGTGTGCCTGGATCATGATGCCATGATCAATGAAAGCTGCACCCCTATTCCATTGGAATTTGTGTAATCTTTACACAAGGAGAAAAGAAACAACAAGTGTGAACAAAATTGCCTCTGTCTTCTAAAAAAGACAACTGGTGATACAAAGACTTTCCACTTCCTTAAGTTTGTCCATGATGTATTCCCATAGTGCTTTTTCCATCCTGAGTGGTTCTGTGCAGGCCCAGGAGCTAGGTGGGGTCCCCCTGGTGACCCAACCTGGGGATGTCTCCAATACCATTCCTGACGAGAGGGTGATGATAACCCTACTGGTCTACCTCAACACTCGCCTGCTCAACCTCAGCAGGGAGATCCGGGCCGCACGACTCATCCAGACTTTCTGGCGGACCCACTATGTGAAGGCTGGAATGGCTTCACTGCAGGTGAGAGCTCCTTCACACTGTGGCTGATATCACCAGGTCTCAGTCACTATCTTGTCTTAAATAAGCTCTCATCCATTCTGGACAGTTTAGGGGAATGTTGAAATTTCCTTAGGAAACAAGGGCTCAGTCAAACCTCACTCTTCTCTCTAGACCTGATCCTGCCATACTTATTCCTTTCATACCATTAACAACAGGGCTCTGACACATTTGTAAGTGCAAAAGCCGAACTGCTTTTCACATGTGTAGACATATGGTGCACTTATAGTAAAAGCAGTCGCTAACTACCCACCATGATTATCATGGCCTGTACCACATGTACTAGGGATTGTTACCACAAGAAGTGATAACATACCCCATCTTGGTCTGTACCAAGCTCATGAAGGCCAACATGCCTATGTAGTTTTCTTGTTAATTCATAAAAAGGGGTATTTGACCAATTTTCTGAAATAAATTTGGAAAAATCACCATTCAGATTATACAAGGTGGCCCATAAATCCAGAAAACTTTTATTTTAAAAAAAATTAAAAGGAAAACTAGAATAAAAAAAGCTATAACTATTTTATTCTATCGTAAAGATAGAGGCTGCGGCATTCATATTTCTTGAAAATAAAGATACTTCGGCCAGTAAATCTTTTCATTACCTCGACGTTTCGACAAAAAGCTTTTGTCCACGTCAGAAGCAAACAAAAATTAAAACATTTGGCAAGGCTTTAAAAATTATTCTAAGGTTCCAAGGGCGTTCTCAAATTTGAAATATCATATTTTTGTTTGCTCCTGACGTGGACAAAAGCTTTTTGTCGAAACGTCAAGGTAATAAAAAGATTTACTGGCCGAAGTATCTTTATTTTCAAGAAATATTTTATTCTAGTTTGCCTTTCAATTTAAAAAATAAAGGTTTCACGATGATTTATGGGCCACCTTGTATTTATTCTGATAAATAGCGCTCTACCATTTGTGCACCTACAATCTACCTACTTCTACCATAACTAATTATCTAGTGCAGACTGTACCCAATAAAATTGTGTTAATTATCATTGTCTACCATCCGCAACATTTTGTTGCATGATTAGCAACGAGAGATGATCTTTCTGTACATTTTTCCTTTATTTACAGAAAGACTCAAATTTGCTGGTTCCTCTTTTTTTTATCCACTGAAAAATGATCTCCTTATTAAGGACTCCTTTTGGAGGGGTCGGTGGAAGGATGGTCTAAACCGTTGGTTTTTCGACTGCTAAGATCCAGGTTCGATTCCTGCATTGGGCACTTTTTTCTGATAAAAAAAAAAAAAAATTATCCAGTGGCCCCCGATTCTTGCAAAAGTCCAACCCCACCAGCGAGTGCAAGTAACCAAACGGGGCTCTGGCACATTTGTAAGTGCAAAGTCGAACTGCTTTTCACATATGTAAACATGTGGTGCACTTACAGTAAAAGCAGTCGCCTACTTCTACCCACCATGATTATCATAGTCTGTATCACATGTACTAGGGATAAGGACTCCTTTGGTAAGTTTAAAAATTGGATGAATCTCTCTCTCTGACCATTGAGAGGCCACTTCCAAGTAAAGACCAGACACATACCTGTGTCATGGGAGTTTCTACGGTATTGTTTGGTATATTTTGACTAGAAGAATGACCCGGCTTCGCCCGAGAAATCCCCCGAGTGAAGTATCCTTCATACTGAAAGTACATCAATAATAAATAGTAGAAGTGCCATAGAATAGCAATACAGAAGAAACACATAAACTACAGGAAAAAAAGTGTGTAATGGCAAAAATTGTATTTTATTAGTGTTTAGGTATTTGATTTAATTATTTTTTGCAATCCATTTAGTTGTTTCAAAATTAATATAGTTTAAATAGACGGCAGCTTTTCCACCAAACCCCCATTAACCTTTGAAATTGCCCGAGTTGAGTGACTGACTGTAAAGAATCCTGACTGCGATGCCCATCTTCTCAGTAAGAATTTTAAAAAATAGGTTTATAAAAAAAGTGTAGCGAATGGTCAGTCTATTTACATATTTTTATTTACAACTTCAATAAATCACAACAGTAAAAGTAAACATTGATATTTACATTTGCTTTCTTGACTCCTGGTCAGTGCTGTGGCCCTTGCCGTTATGGTCCTCTGATGTCCTGCAGCTCTCCAGCAGTCTTTCTATGGCCTCTACTAGTGGCTCCTCAATAAGATGGTCCCCTGGCCTTGATCCATTCTTGTCTGTCAGGTCTCCTGTCATCTGCTCTAGGTCGTTCTCCTGGATCTCTTCTATGGTCGTCGTATCCCTGTGCTCCATGTCCGGTGTTTTTTAATAATAATAATAATAATAATATTATAAACGAGTTTTAAAAATTGTAAAAAAAAAAAAATGCATCTGCTGGGAATCGAACCCGGGCGTGGCAGGCGAGCATTCTACCACTGAACCACCGATGCTCATAAGAAATGGCCATATTTGAGTATTTATTCCATTCACAAAAGCAAACGATGACAGAATTGATTGATGACTCTGATACTTGTATATTTTAATGTCCTTCTTGTAAACCAAATTGAGTCTTTTCATTGTTCACATTGATTGTGTGTGACGCAGGCCAAAACTTTAGCTGCCATTATAATCCAGCGTAGAGTCCGTCAATTTCTTGAACGGCGTAGAGAACAGCGCAGACAAGCAGCAGCTCTAATTTTGCAGAAAATATGGCGAGGCTACTGCGTCAGGAGATTCCTCAAGCAACAAAAAGCTTCAATCACCATCCAGGTAAGTGCTGTTGACTCTGATTTATTTCAGCAACTCACTGGCAGTAATTTTTGCTTCGGGGCTCTGGCACATTTGTAAGTGCAAAGTCTAACTGCTTTCCTCATATGTAGATATGTGGTGCACTTACAGTCAAAGCAGTCGCCTACTTCTTCCCGCCATGATTATCATGGCCTCTACCACGTGTACTAGGGATAAGCAAAAAAATAATAATAATAATTTTTGCTTGGGTGATTATTCAGGTAAGCACAGGCAGGGATTCTAAAGATGGTCTCAATCAGAATGTATTTATTATATTTATGTATTTATGAATATTTTATCAAGCCATTTACAGGGTTGTCATAAAGTCAGGGTGGATGGAGTCGAAGTTTCCTAGAACCAGACCCTATATTCATTTTATTACCTAAAAATATTAGTAAATGGCAGTCTCAGATGTACTGTCTTTGTTTGTCTGAGTTTGTTTATTCCACAAGGTTCAAATCTACAGAGTTCACTCTCAATAATGGGACAACTTCCTCTCTCGGTTAACATTAGGCTATTATTTAACACAGGCTTCTATGTTCTTTGAAAGGTATAATTCTGTGAACGGTAGTTTTCATTTTCCTCGTTATACAGCAACCCGGTAATGTTAGTTAAACGAGTGTGTATTTAAGTACAGAACTCTCTTAAATCTCAAAAAGTCAAATACAAACTTAACTTACTTTGATTAATTGGGAGTAAGTTTTGATTATCCAGCTAGCTCCACTTATATGTAAGTGGCTACTGCTGTATGTCACTAGAGAAAGAGGGAATTGAGGATGTGTCCCCAGCACAATAGGAGGAATGAGTTGTGAATTAACACCAGGGTTGCTTGCAGGCTTTCTACAGGGGCTACAGGGCCAGGAAGCTCCTGAGACTGAAGATTGCAGCGATTGTCAAGATCCAGGCTTTCTACCGTGGCTGGAGGGAGAGGCAGCGGTATCACCATCAGCGCCAGGCCATCATCCAACTCCAGAGATGGTACAGGGCCTATTCTCAACGTAAGGTCTTCCTTCAGATAAGAGAATCCATAATCAAGATACAAACGGCCTATAGATGCCACCAAGCTAAAACTGAACTTTCCCTATTGAAAACTGCCAAATTCCTGGAGTTCAGACAGAACTGCGCAGCAACCAAAATACAAAACCCGTTCAAGTGCTATAAGTGCTATTTAGCAAAGAAAGAGCTTATGCGATTGAAAGATGCTAAGCATTTAGAGATTAAGCAGAACTGCGCAGCAACCAAAATACAAAGCTTGTTCAGGGGTTATCAAGCTAGGAAAATATATGTCACGCTAAGAGCTGCTAGAGAACTTTGGATCAAGCAGAATGCCTCAGCAACCAAAATACAAGCTTTCTACTGGTGCTACAAGGCAAGACAGAACTATCTCGCAATGAAGAGAGCAGTCATCATCATTCAACAACGATTCAAAGCCAAGATGGCTGGAAGGGCACAGCGGAGACTCTACCAGCAACAACTGGAGGAAAGAAGGGCATTCCATCAACAACAAAGAGAGTTAGCCATTATTGTGATCCAGACCAGGTTGAGAGCTTATTTAAAAGGCAGAGAGGAGCGGCGTAGATTCCTACAAATGAAGACAGCTGCAATCACCATCCAGGCTTGGTACAGAGGGGCTGTCCAGAGGAACAAGTACCTCAGATGGAGGAGCTCCCTCCTGGCCTTCCAGCAGGCCTGCAGACAGCATCTGCTCGCTCGCAAGCTGCTCAACATCTACCTGGCCTCTTCCAAGATCAAGGCCTTCTTGAAGATGTCCCATGAGAGGCAAAGTTTCTTGAAGTTGAGGGAGAGCTGTATTCTCATCCAGAGAACTTGGAGGGCTCGAGCTGAGAGGAAGAAGTTCCTGGCTCTGAGACAGGCCACCATCTTGGTCCAGAGGAGGTGGCGGGAGAGAAGGCCCAAGGCCGATGTTACTTTTGTCATCTCTGGTCAGGAAGAACAGAACTACACCTCGGAACAGTAAGTCTCTCTCTCTCTCTTTACTTCTCCACTTAATTGACTCCGTGTTTAACCTCGTGTCTTGTCCACTCAGGTTTACACACTTGTATTTTAGAGTCACTATGAGAAGTACTCTGGCTCTCTTTCTAAAGAGTCACCCCAAGTTTCACTCAGATGTAATAATATATATATATTTTTTACTCCTTGCTCAGGGGGAAGGGCGGTCTAAACCGTTAGTTTTTGACTGCTGCGACCCTAGATTGAATCTTCATTGGGCACTTTTTTCTAATTAAAAAAATGTTCCAATGGCCTCCGATTCTTGCAAAAGCCCAACCACCAGCGAGTGCAAGTAACCAAACAGGGCTCTGGTACATTTGTAAGTGCAAAGTCGAACTGCTTTTCCCATGTGTAGACATATGGTGCATGCAGTAAAAGCAGTCACGAATGCATACCATGATTATCATGGCCTGTACCACGTGTACTAGAGATAAGTAAAAAAAAAAACTCCTGGGTCACTGTCAATACTCAATTTTGTAACTAGAGTCAATGGCCAACTCCTTATTTACCACAGTTTTGTTTGAATTAGGGAACAAATGAATATCTAAAAACTGTTGCTGGTATGGAAACAGCATACAGATTCATCATGGTTGTTGACATTTGTTCTCTATCCATAATCCAATGTGTTTAACCCATTGTTGTCCAGGTTGGCCCGCAGACACATGGCAGCCTATGTCATCCAGCGGACTGTGCGACAATGGCTCAGAACTCACAGGGCGGCCATCAGCATCCAGGTTGGTGTAGCACAACTCCCACTCTACCAGCATTTCCTCTTGCAGTTAAACTTGTCTTAATCACAAACCCATTGTCTGAAGCTTAAACTGTGTGATCCCATGTTTTTTATAGTGTAGTGGTGAAACATCCATAGGATTACCTTAACAACAGGATACCTCTGGAAGTTGGGTCATATGGCCGGCATTTTAGAAAAGTGATTTTCCCACTCACAGTCTCAGATGACTAGTCACGGGAGGTGTTAACCTGCAACAACCTCTGTAATTTACCATCTATTTTGTCCACCTGAGTAAGACAGGTTTCATTGCTGGGACCAAACATCTAAGTGTAACATGTCCTCTTTCTATCCAGAGAAGTAAACTATATAATGGATGTTTTACAGGGCTCTGGCACATTTGTAAGTGCAAAGTGAAACTGCTTTTCACATGTATAGACATGTGGTGCATTTTCTACCCACCATGATTATCATTGACCTGTACCACGTGCACTAGGGATAAGCCCAAAAAAAAGGATGTTTTGATAGAGCTCATCAGTGCTATCATCCAACTCAAGTTGCCAAATTGGGTCAGATTTGGGAAGTCTTGTTGCATCTTGATCCCAACAAGGAACAAGTGTTTGAATGTGGGTGTGCAGTCCGCCTGGCGTGGTTACCGAGTGAGGAAATCCATCCAGAATTCCAGACAGATGTCCAAGGTCCGTGAGAGAATCCAAGAAGCCATGGCTAAAAAAACTTCAGAGAGTCTAGGTTGGCGAGGCAGACTTGCCTTGGCACGCCTGCTCGAGGCCAAGGATCTCTCTAGGAATGCCCGGGATCTCGACAACCTGGGTAGGTCTTCCTATACATCATAAGGTTCAGAATGTTGAGGGAATATTTATATAAAAGAAACTACAAAACGATATTTCCTCAGCATCCTGGGCAATTTTTTTAAATATTTTTATTTACATAATTTAAAAATTTATAATACAGTAGAACCTCTTTGTAAAGGACACCTAATTGCAGAGCCAAAGTGTCCTTTAGGTAGAGGTGTCCTCTTACTGGAGAGTTGTTAAATTGTAAAAATGGTAATTTTGCAAATGAAAACTGTCCTTTGTGGAGAGGTGTCCGCTAAAGGGAGGTTCTACTGTGTATCCCTACATTTTATTTACCCCTTTATTATACAGTAGAACCTCCCTGTAAAGGACAACACATTATTGCAGAGCCAAAGTGTCCTTTAGGGAAAAGTGTCCTCTTACCAGAGAGTTGCTAAATAGCAAAAATGGCAATTTTGCAAATGAAAACTGTCTTTTGTAGAGAGGTGTTTCTAGCGTGAGTGTCCTCTCGTGGAGGTTCTACTGTATATTACCCCTTTATCGTAATTTTTTTCTGTAATAATTGATTATAGAAGAACCTCTGTGAAAGAACATTCTCACTAGAGGTCATCTTTCTACAAAGGACAGTAGAAATTTTGTGTGATAGAAACATTTGTCCTTCAATGCTTCCATTTCCACTATGTCTGTCACACAACGTTGTTTGTCCCAGTGGCGGCCACCAAGTGGTCTTGGAGGCTCTGCGACCAAGTGGTGGAGAGTGGAGCCCTGGTGTCCCTCATGAAGATTGCTCAGAGCTGTAACCGCAGTCTGCACCACATGGGCATCCTCTCTATCCTGCTCACTGTGCTGCTCAATATTGCCAAGGTCAGTTTCTCTCTCTTGTCTTCTTCTTTCTTATCTCCACTCAATCATATTAGGGTAAGGTGAAGTAAAATGTGTCTGCCTTTGTCATTAAGACTGGGAGCACTACTCAGTGGCAGGCCGACTTAGCTCCAAAAGAAATGGCCGCCTCTGACATGAGGAACAGATGCCATGCGCAGCCACTCCTAACATGGAGTACAAACGCTGCTCATCCTGTATCCCTGGATTAGGAGCCCTTACAGGGTACTAT